GAGGTGGAGAGCGGGAGGGGTGGGCAGTGGACGGGCCGGAACCCCGAGGACTCGGCCCTGCCGGCCCTCAGCGCCCGGAGGCGGGCCGGCTTCGGGAAAGTTGAGGCGCTCGGGTGGGGTCAGGGAAGGGCCACTGCTGCCCTCCGGTGGCCGGCACGTCGCCCGCGCTCACCCCACCTGGGGCCTGGCGGGAGGCGGCACTGGGGCAGGGCGCCCCCGGAACCCCGAGGGAGGAGGGGGCGCAGAAGTTGCTCCCCCTCTGCCACAAAAGTGTTTGTGGTGTAAGCTCAGCCAGCGCCATTCCCCCAGCCTCGAAGACTCTCGGAGCCTTTCTGAGCCAGGCCACGGCCCCACCTCCCCATTCCTGCCCTCCCCTGGCCAATCGGTCTCTACCTGTCCCTCAAAGGACACTGTGAAAACCCTTCCCGATCCTCGGCTGGAAATCGCAGCCCCACTGTGTTACTTCTGTGCTGCTGGCGACACAGCGCTGGTGACCTGTGGCCTGGGCTGTTCCTGCAGGTGCGTCTCTTTTCCTGGGGTGGCTGAGTGGGGGAGGGGCGGGGAAGAAGAGGAAGTCTGCTGAGGTCTCTGCTTACACTGCAGAGCTTGGCCCTTTCAGTGCTAATCCCAGATCTTTGGGGGAACTACGCCCATCCCCTTCTGCCTGGAAGGAAACCGAGACTCAGGTTAGGTGACTCGCCCGATTTTTTTCCATTTGTGCGGAACAGCAGGAATTTCAGTCCGGTATGCCAAGCCACCTGTGCTCCCACTACCTGTCCCTTTCTTGCCATCTAGTACAGTGTGTGGCCCAGGATCGATTTTCGACAATATTTGCTGAATGCATGAAGCTGGGAGCCAGGTAGAGTTTCAAGATCTAATAAGTGAGGAAGGGAGATGCAGAGGTTTTAGGTCTCCAGGACTTTTAACTTGCTCCTTTGAGATTGAGCTTAAACGGAGAGCTTTGTGCTCAGTTCAGATTGACTACGGCCTTTGGAGGATTCCATTTGAACTGGAAAACAGAGAACCTGAAGATAAGTTAGTATCTAGTTATTTATTTATTTATTTTTTTATTTTTATTTTTTTTATTTTATTTTTTAAAGATTTATTTATTTGTACATACAGAACCGGGGTACAGGCTAGAGGCTCAGGGGCGGTGAGAGGCTTCACCAGAGACAGAGTGGGGAGCAGAACAGGCAGATCGACGAAGCACACTGCTGAGGGGAG